CGGCGGCTCCCCGGCCGCGTCGCCGAAGGCCGCGGAGGCTTTTTCGGGACGGCCACCTTTCGAGGATGAGAGCTTGCGACCCGGAGCGGAGGCGAAGGCGAACTCGAGCAGCAGCCCGGGAGACGGCCCCTCCTCCCCGCTCATGTCCACCGTAGACCTGTCGTCGAAGTTTCAGGCTCAGGTGGCCGTGTCGGGGGCGGGGGCGGCGGCGGCGGCGGCAGAAGGGTCTTTTGTGGGCGGTGGTGGGGCAGGAGCGCCCCCCGTTGCCCCGCTGCCGCCGCATGGGTCCGGGCCGAATAGCGCGACGGCGGGGGCGGCGCCACCGCCGTCTGTACCTCCGGTGAGGGTCGAGTTAGGGAGTGCGGGGCCAGCAAAAAGCTTAAATATGGGTTCTACAGTGCTGTAGCTGTTTCAGAGGAGGGGGTGGAAGGGGGTGGTCGGTCGAGCCGTCTTATACATGAAGTATGAAGGTTGCACAGGACGTGTGGCTTTTGGGTGTGGAAGCGCGAGTCATGGGTAGCTTTGTTCACACTGGAATTTTTATCTCGGCAGGCGTCTTCTTATTTGCCTCATGGGCGCGGAGTGGAGTGAAGATTCCTTGGAAACTATACGGTTGCCCCGGTGTCTCTCTTGGCTTTTTCTTTTCGTCGGCGAGACTTACCGAATGCCGCGATCGAATCGCTCCAAGTGTTTGTCCAGCCTACCACACGGGAGCTCTCCCAAGCCCCGCCTTCTCTCACCAAGGGATTAGCAACTTGTTCAGGGCTTTGTTTGTTCTTACCCACAATCCCGTCTGTCTGGTGCGCATTTTGCTCTCCTGCTTGTTTGCTGCAGGGTGCGTTTGGGCCGGGCGCGGCCGGGCCGAGCCAGCCGCCGCCCGCGGAACAAACGGGGAAGAAGTTTAAGCTCATCAAGCCGGATGGGTTCCACTCGAGCGCATCGGACAAGGTGCTGCAGGCCAGGTGAGCCAAAAGTGCATTGGTTGATGATAATGGTGTTGGATGGCCGATCGCCCTCTGTTTTTGTTCTTGGGTGTACTTTTCTGAAAATCGCGGGACCTCGGTCGGGGCGTGATGTTTCGGTAAGATGCTTCGTCTTACGGGCTGTTCCTCACGTTTCGTGAAAAACACGTCTACGTACTGGTATTTGATAACCGGTGGTCACAGAAACTTGCTGAAGCTGTTGGTAGATTCGGGAACACGAAACCCGGAAGTAGCGCGACTAAGCGGACGGATGATTGGAAGTATGTCGGAGATACCGTACGTCGTGATCCAGAGAGTCGGTACAACTTGGAGTGAAGCTGGTCTTGAGATGCCGCGTGATACAGATGACGGGGGGCTTTCAGGTAGATCAGGCTGCACGGTTAAGTTGCACCGGATGGATGGCTCGGCGAAGCACACTCGAACAGAGATGGGAGACGAGTCGCTCTCGACGAATCCGAGTATTGGGCCAATGAAGTAGGTTAACAAAGTTATGACCCACCTGTCCGGTGTACATTGCTGTTTTTTGGCTGAAATCTCTGGTTTGTCGCCAAGAGGATACCCCCCCGCCCCTCCCTCGTTTCACAGGTATGGCCACACAAAGATCGTGAAAGAATTCGGCGCCCCCCCGACAGCCGCTCAGCTAGGCGGCGCGGGGCCGCCACAGATGGGCGCCGGAGGCGCGGGGGGGGGTTACATGGCCGGTCCTCCGATGCCCCTGCCGGGGCCGCCGCCGAACAACAACGGGTATGCGCAACAACAACCCCAGCCTAGACCCCAGTACGGCATGATGCCGCCTCCGCAGCAGCAGCAGCAGCTGCAGCAGCAGGCGGCGGGGGGCGGACAGGGGCACTACGGCCAGCCGTTTGGCGCGCCGCCGCCGCCGCAGGCGGCCCCTCAAGGGTACCACCAAGCCTCGCGACCGTCCAACCTAGGTGTAGGCGGGGCTCCGTCTAGCGGTGGTGGTGGCACCCCGCTGCCGACGCCCGGGGGCTACGCGTACCCGGCGCCGGCCGCCAGCGCGCGGGGGGGTGGGGCTGGCCCGTCGCCGCAGCCGGCGGCGGCAGGCGGGGGGCGCGGGGTGGGTGCGGGGGGATACGGTGGCGCCTTTAACCCGACCACGACGGTAGTGGCTGCCGATTCGACCTCTAGCGCTGTTTTGTGAAAGGATTTTTTCTCAGGCTTGGTTCGTAAGAGGTGGTGGGGAGACGCGGGGGGTGTACTCGAACTCATAGTCGTGCATGCCGCAGTCGCTAGACCATTGATCTCGCATCCCTACAAAGCCGGGACGGAGCACGCGGGGGGCGATTTTGTAGAGTGAGGAAAGGTTGGCGTTTATGACGTCTTCCGCGTTGAGGCCTGTTGTGACCACTCTACCCCCCCTCAGAACGGGAAGCGTCGTGCCGATTATTAGGATGGTGGAACCTTCGCCGTGCTATAACCTCTAGGGTCGGAGAGTCAACACGCGGCACTACTGGAGCTGCAAAGAGATAGCGCCTGTGGCAATTTTTGTTTGTGCGGGAACAGGAAAGCTGTATTCGTAGTCGGTGTGCCATGTTGGCGGGTATCGCTTACTTCATGTTTTCGTCACACTCCCTGTATACCCAATCCCGTTGGAGTGTGGGTTGGCTGAGCAGGATTGAACAGTTCGTGCGTGCTGAATGTGCATTTTTTATTTTGCAGAAGTGCATGCCGCTCACGTTGTTGTTGGTGTGGTCGAGGTGGTCCCGCTCCCGCGTATTGTAGTAGATGGCGGTAAGGATGCCGTTTCGGCAACTAGCAGGTCTCGCGCATGTCTTCTCCACAACAGCAGCAGTATTGACGAGTTCCTGGGTGCAAGATTGTGAGCGCTTTGCCAAGGAGCGATCGCCCGTGGCGGAGCTTGTATCCGCTGGTTGGCGCGCACGCTCGTTCTCAAGAGGGGAAGCTTGAAGCTTGTGACCGGTTATGCACAGCCAGGCGGCGGTGTGTGTTTTGACTGTTGTTGCCTGGTCGCCCAAGGTTGGATGCCTTACTGGGGTAAACCAAGCCATTCCATACGTCAGGGCTGCTGCATAAATAGGGACAGACCGCAAAAGAAAGTCAATCGCCGACGTGAAGCATAATATGGAAGTTCTGATTGGTTGAGCGAGGTTTCGACGTATGCATGCCTCTGCCCGAGCAAATCGAGATAATACGCATGTATGTACGTATGTGCACACCAAATCATCTGTTGACATCCAACAGAGACTAGACCGGAACATCACCCGAAGATGCTAGTGAGAGGGCGCGTTCATTTTCAATGATGACGCATGCGCAAAATCGCTCAACAATGTAGTGTTACTTTGTCGCAGTGTGCGTCTATGGGAGGTGTAGACTAATACAGTCTGTCGACAGCGGTATCCATGTATGTATATATGTATCCACAGCTACAGCAAGTATCTCAGCGAATAGCTGTGTATGGAGGGATGTTCCCTTCTTGGAGGTGGCAACGTGATTTGTTGCCTCTCACGGCCCACAGATGGATCTGATAATACAACTCAGGCAGCGTCGACACCCTGGCAGGGTTCCTGCCCGTGGACGTCCTGGGGACGACTCCCTTGGCAGGGTGTCACAGCGTCCGTACAGAATGAGCCATTTGGCAACAGGTGAAGGTGTGTATATTCGTCCATTTCGGTTTTGCACATCTTTTCGGCGTGTGTGAAGCCGGAGGAAACATTCTCATCACCGTCGAGTGCAGAAGTGGATTCATCATGATTGGTGCAATTAAAGCTTATAAAATGCAAAAGCGCAAGAAAAGGCTGTGAAAATCTGAGCGCACAGCGGTTCCTGAACCTTTCTCTTCTCTTTAGTAAAAAGTTGAATGTTCCATCATCCGAGAGAAACCCGGAGCGCCAGGAGGAAAAGAAAGCGCTTGGAAAGGGAACCAAACCGCGCGTGTGTCACAGAGCGTCGTCCCCGCTTCGTAAACAATCCTCTACCGTCTTTTTCTGCGACAAGAAGCGTACGTAAAGCGAGGGGGCGAAAGCAGCAGAAAAAAAAAGGCAGTCTCTTCCCATCTCTAAAAAGTGTAAACGGTGAACACGAAAAAAACTACCCTGGTCCTCTACCCCCACGCCTTGCACCTACTACACGTTACGTCGGCAGGCGCCCTCGCCCTGCCCGCGCCAGGTTTCCTGGTAACGAACAGGCCGTCACCCCCCCCCCCCGTTGATTGATAGGCGAAGCGTAGCACCTAGCCCGCTGCCTTTAGCGACGCCTAATTATAATGCACCTTTTCTCGTCACAATCGCCTGGCTGTCGTGTGTCCCCCACCTCTCTTTGGTCAGCGCTGTACATCCCTACGTTTGCCCACACCAAAAAACCTTACATGCCCGTTTTAAGACGTTTCTATCTCTCGGTGCACGCAATGCATACATTTTTCTTCTACGACTAAATTTGGTCGCACAGCAGCTTTCGCGGCGTCGAGCCAAAAAAAAACGACACACAAAAAATGCTTTCTTGCGCCCCTCCCTACCTCCGTCCCTCGCCAAGCGTGCCGCTTTACGAGGAAAGAGGGTGAGTGAGGGTTTTTTTACGTGAGGGACGGAATTCCCCACTACCATGACAAAAGCCATTTGAGGGAGGGAGGAGTCAAGCCACCAAAAGGCATGGATCCATCCGCAGCGCTGACCGGGTACTGGGGGAACAATTTTTTTTGTGCGCCTCGTGCAGCGCACGCCAAATGAGAGCAGCGAGCCACCGTCGCCGGGGGCAACAGCAGGGGGGGCTGGCTGGCTGGGTACGGCCTTAACTCACTGCAGCCCACCACCCCAACAAGACGAAAGAACAGAAAAAGACACCCAACCAACCATCACTCCCTACTATTGACGCAGCAGCAAAGACTCCCACTCCCACACACCCCCGGCTCCAAGTGCCCTTCGCGCTCAAGCCGGATTTCTGACAAGAGGCCTTTTCCCTTTTCATCCCACAACTTCACACGAAAATTCCCTTCCCTCTTCTCTCTCTAGCACTATGCAACGACAACCACGCGCCCGTGGCGAACGTACGTACGTACACACGTCAGCGGTGTGCGTGCTTAGTACTTGTAGCCCTTCACGAAGAGGGTCTCGTCGGCCGACGGCTGGGAGCCCGCCACGTACTTGCCGAGGTTGGCCTCCGAGTTGGCCTGCGCGCGTGCCTTCAATTGCGCCTGCGCGGCCTCGAGGTTCTCGGCCTTGCCCTGCCACGCCTTGAGGGTGGACTGCTGGAGGGCGCGGCCGTACGAGAAGGAGAGCGACCTGCAAAATACGGCGGCGGCGGCGGAAAAAACAAAAAATGTGAGTTCACAATTACTGGTATAGAAAATGGCGTTTGAAGCGTGCGTGCAAGGAAAAAATCGACAATAGGCAAGACCATCCACCGAGACCAACACACAATATAGTGTCATGAAGTGAAGAACGCCCCTGTCAAGAATGCGAAAACAGAAAAAAAGGACGAAAACACACCGTCGTTTCAATTCAAAACATGTGCCCCCCGTCTCCACCTACGGTATTGAATGAGAGAAACCCCGTGCACTCAAAAGTCTTGCTGAGCGTTTCATCGACTTCGCCTCTTTAGACGGTGGACGCGCCAAAAACATGGAAACAAAAAACTCACCACGGGCCCTTGCGCGGTGTGCTGTTCATGAGGTTGAGGTTGATCGACGCCTCTTCCTCGGACATGCCGCCGGACAGGAACATCACGCCGGGGACGGCGGCCGGCACGTGGCGCTCCAAGACGTTAACGGTGGTCGCGGCCACCTCCTCCGGGGTGACGGGCTCGGTGCAGTCCGCGCCGGGGCAGGTCATGGAGGGCTTGAGCAGGGAGCCTTCCAGGTAGACGCCGTTGTCGGAGCAAGCCTTGTACACGGCGGCCAGGACCTTCTCCTGTTACACCCAGGTGTTCACGGTCGGCAAGAGACGAGTTGTTGGGGTCAATGGGGACACGAGCGGAGGAGGCGTCAAGCTCAAATCGAGCAATTTTTGTGACATGGATTGTTGTATGCATACGGGAGTTTACGGTGGGAATCTCGCTCAACGGGTGAGTCGGGGATCAAACCAAAACAAACGTCCAAGCCAAGCGACGAGTTTTCCAGAATCGACACTTGCGCCCAAGCAGATACCTGCATGAATGCAATAGCTGACTTGGGTTTCGACTTGAAAATGTTTTCGCAAATCGTCTTTGCACCACAAAGGGGAGGGGGGGGGGGGGGGGGTGACGGGAATGCGCACCTTGTACAAGTGACTTTTCTGCAATAAAACAACGCGGGTCACATAGCGTTCGTACTTCAACTTCCAATCGAATTTCAGTTTTTTCCTACGTGCAATCGAATCCCAAGTACCAGTAACATAGAGAAATATGCTCTGCAAGGGCAAAACACGAAAGTAAGTGCACAGCCGTCACGACACGCAAGAGAACGTACAAGACAAAAGCTTCAATCTGGGAATCTGCCGACGTGGGACTTGACTGGGAAATCACAAAAACGGAGGATCGAAGAGCGAAACTACCAAAAACAAACCTGCACAGCGGCGGTGGTGGCCATGTTGTGGTCGCCGTCCATGAGGATCTCCGGCTCAACGATGGGCACGAGTCCCGCCTCCTGGACGGCGCGTGCGTAGCGCGCCAGTCCCCAAGCGTTCTCCTGCACGCCCGAGATGAAAAAAAAAAAGGAGAACATGCGCGTGTAGGGGTGTGTTGGCGTCAGTTACACATCGTTTCTTACCGAATCTTGTCGGGGTCGGCGGTAAATGCTTTCAGACCAGTTGGGTGGGCCCCACAGCTGGGCAACTTGCATGTCGTTTAAAGGGTGCCAAGCCAAGCAAAAAAAAAAAGAGGTGATTGTGACATTCAACGGCGAATGCATCACGTGGACATCCACAACTTTTCCACATCGCAGAACAAGCCCCTTTCCGATACTTGCCACCCTCTGTTAATCCTTCGCCTTGTTCCTCTATCAGGAAGGAACGCACCAATACGTGCTGCTCAAGGAGCTTCGGGCTGAAGTGCCACCTCTTCGTCCAGTCCCGAGGCAAGACGACTCCATATCCCAAAGAGCCAAACAACAGCAGCACCAACACCAAAACCACAGAACGAACCTGGATGGAGAGAGCAGACGGCGCGCCGTCCGAGGTGATCTGGAGCACCGCGCGCCACTTGGCGAACCGGGCGCCCTGCGCGTAGTACTTCTTCGCGCGCTCCACGAGCCCGTCGAGGCCCGAGCACCACGTCTCCACCTCGTGCCCTCCGGGGAGGGGCGAGAGGCCGGTGTCCACCTTGATGCCGGGGATGACGCCGATCTTCTGGAGGCAGTCGACGAAGGGGGTTCCGTCGGCGTGGTTCTGGAAGAGGGTCTCCTCGTAGAGGATGGCCCCCGAGATGTAGTTGCCGAGGTCCGGGGTGGTGAAGAGCATGCCTACGGTACGGTGGAGGAGGGGGTGGGGGTGCAAAGAGGCGTTTTTCACGGGAGCCGAACACAACATGCTGCTCGTGTCCATGTTTATTTTACACTTTACACGAAATCATGACTGGAACCAAGAGCGATAGCAATCGATGTCTAGCTAGGTCAGCTGATGTTTACGCAAAATAGCTCCGTTAGCTCGAGGTATGCGGCGGCGGTGTGGACACCCATGCACAACTGCGTCACGTTTGCGCTAAGCGCCTGAGGACTTCCATCACCCTACATCGTTTACGGAGTAGTGTACTAATCAATCCGCCCCCCTGCTCCTAGCATTTTGTATAGCGCGCTCCACGTTCGCATGCACGTCACATCGAATAGCACTTCATGGGCAGCATCGCTGGTGTTAGGCCCAAGTATGCATACATCCAAGGTAGACACCCTGCTGCCGGTATCGCATCATGTATGCATACACAGGCAAACTGCTGTACTTTCGCATCCCGCACAGGCGGAGGAGCAAGAAGGAGCCAACTCTATCAACCAGGGCTTGTTTCATGCGCGCCATCTCTTTCTCGGGATGCCCTATCCCCCCCCCCCCCTTCCCCGGATCAGACAGAAATACACACACACGCCGAGCCTCGCGTGGACTGAACCAACGACGCACGTAGCATGTTGACATACAGCTTTAGTGGTAGATATACACATGTCGGGGTTCATGAACATGGGGTGATGTGACACGGCACTTACCCCTGTAGGCCTGGCGGTTCTCCTCCGTGTTGTCGACGCCGATGGACGCCAGCCGCTTGCCAATGGTGGCGGTCGACTCGTCAACGGCCAAGATACCCTTGCCTGTGGTTCAGAAAAACGGTATGAACATGTGTCATGCATGATGAATGATGGTGCACGTCATTACACGAAAGAAACGAGAACCTTTTTTTTAGATCGTCGTGGCATGCATGTGTATGAGTGACTGGGTTTTGGCTTGAGACAATTGCATGCTTGGTGCTTACTCGGCTTCTAAAAGACAATACCAAGGAATTCATCCAGCCGAAATCCATGCAACATGGCATCGCCCGCTTCCAGGTACAAACTGCCTCTGCGCTTGATGAATGATCGATGGGTACGCTGTAAGTAGCGATTGTACTACCCTCGGGGTACCGTCCCTATTGCAGTCGACAAACACGGCTGTCGTCCGAACATAGGACGGCCACTCAAGTCAGCCTCTAGACAACCAAATCTACACAGACCACAACTGCTGAAGCAGGGGCGACGTCCTTCGCCGCAATTCACACAAAATCGGCAGCTATATTGTATGCATAGGTGCACGGTTGGAAATTCCGGTATTGAAGTAAAAACGAGACAGCAGCAGTGACGTTTTTCACCCGAAAAAAAAAAAAAGGTACCCTCCCTCGCACACGTCACCCGTTCTCTCTCCTCTCTTTACAAGCAAAAACACAAAGCTCGCAGGACAAGCATATCGCCTCTGGATCTCTCAACCTGGCACTAGAAAGGGTTTCGCGGTGCCGACCGGCGGTCGTTATCATCGGTGTGGTCCCCGCATGCACGTGCCGTTGTTCGTGGTCTTCTTCACCCATTCTTCTGCCTAAAAAAAACAGCGAGATTTGCTGCTTCCCGCGTTTTCGGCACGTCCGCACACACGCATACACGGGTTCCCTCTTTTGCATGAGCCTTGCGCTGGCACACCACCCTCACACCCACATCCCGTAGCCAGTCAAGAGCTCCCACTGCGCACACTGCATGACCACGGGCCAGGCTCAGGTGCCGCGTGCCCAAATCGCATCATGAGCACATCCCATCATACGCACGCGTGAACATGTGGTTACGTATGCGTAGAGCGCCGGCCGCAAGGACCACAGCAAGGTACACCCAAACATATCCAGACAACCCCAAACAAGCAACGGCACACGGCGCAGCGCAGCGCCGCTTGGTCCACCGCTTGCAGGCAGCCCCGCACGCCGCAGGCAGCTAGCTCACCTGGCCCTGCGATCGCCTTCGCGGTTTGCGCGAGCTCGTCCTTGTATTCGCTGAGGCTCATGTGTGTCGAGGTCGACGCCTTCGAGACGCGGGGGGCGACGGCGGCGCCGGAGAAAGACGAGGGCGCCACGAAAGCCGAGGCAACGCCCATGGTGGCAGCGGAAGCAAGAACGAGCTTCATGGTTTCTAAAAGTGGAGGAGTTGAGAGAGGAGATGAAGGTGTGTGTAGGAAGGTGTGGGGTGTTGTCTCACTCTGATCTGTCCTGGGCGCGACCATTTCTCTTTTCTCTCTCCAACCCTCTCTATCCTCCCTGTTTTTTTTTTTTCCAGGATCTCCCACCTCCACCCCCCTCTACGAAAAAAACCAGTATCCTTGTAGATTGTTGATTGGCCAAAGACGGCACCGAAGCGGCGACATTACGTAGCCTGCTTTTGGTGCAATCTTTGCAATCTCCGCTACGCCGCCAGTCGCCAGCGGTTCTTCCAAGGTCAAGCTACCACGAGCAGCAGCAGTGGAACAGACGGAGGCATGGCCCTAGGTTGGGTGGCGGAGCCGACGCTTGTTGCATCAGCGTCGAGCTCATGGGTTGGGCGCATATCCCACACTCGACATCGCCCGCGTTTCTCGGCACGGCGGCCGTCTTCTGACACAGCCTGCACTCTTGACGACTCAGTTCAGGACAAGGTACATGATTGGTATCGCATGTCGTAGGTATATGATGATGAAACGCAAATATGAAAAGTGAAGTGTTGTGTGGCCGTTCTGAGTAAGTTATAACGGCCTCGCTAGCACAGGTACGTTAGAGTTCCACGTATTTTATACAGGAGTACAGAGTAATGGAGCAAACTACCGAGTACATAGCACCAAAATAGCACTACCCTCGCTTTTTGAGGGATTGTCGGGGGGGGGGGGGGGTGTTGTCCTCGGTTCGTTTACTCTACCCTTTCATTTGACTACCCAGTACCCAGTACCACCTGGAACTGATTAATAAAATCGAGAGTGGCTTGCACCCAATTGCTTAAGCGGTTAACAAAACACAAGGTTTGAATCCCAAGAGGGAACAAAAAAATTATCGCCCGCTCATGATACCCCACTCTTTCTGAAACCCACATCAATAGTTACTATTTACTACCTGTAGAGGTTGCGCTTTTGCCTCCTCGCATGTGAGGCCCTGTTTTAACGTTAAAATAAAAAATAAATGCATAGGGACCAGCAGGGACAGATCAGGAGCTAGCTCATCTATGTCTTACATATCATCATAGAGCAAACATACACAGATCACCTACAATCAGTGTGCCTTGCGATCACGAGGGACATGCCCTTCGAAAGAGCTAGCTCGATCTGGTCGGTCCAGTCTCTGTAAATTGTTGAACTTGCACATGTACCCGCATGGGCACCTACACCCCTGTTCGTCCTCCCCGGATACTGCTGTCTGTAACATCTCTCTCCCTTTTCGTACTCAACAGTTTATCAGGGTCCACCAGACTAACTTCAATGTTCCTGTTCCCCGCCCGCGCCCCCTCTTGTTTTTCAGCAGCCAGAGTCCATGTCCCGAGCGTCTGTCGTTCGCCTTGTGTCCTCAACGTTGTTGATTGGGTCGGCGGCTTGTGGCGGACTCGCCGCTCCCGCCTCGGCGTTGGACCCTCAGCGTGATCGGAGAACGGCCGTACCGCCGCCGCGCCCTCTGCTGCTTCCCGTCGTGAAACTACGGGTGAGCCGGCCTTTTACGACGCTTTATCTCCTACTCCCCCAAACAGGATGCATTGTTGTTGTTTTTGTCCGGTTTTGGCCACGTTTGTGAACAGTGGTTTTCGTTTCTACGTAAATGATCTGCAGCAATGATACAGTGGGCCATACTGTAGACGTTCTAGATGTGGTCCCGATTGGAGTCTCGGAGTTGGGAAAGTATTAGACCTCTCATGCTCTGATGGAGAATAGTTCGAATACCGTGTGGTCGTAAGGGGGAATTATGCGGTGCAAAGACCCGGGAAATGTTTCTAACCCTCTCTCAGCGCAGACGAAACTCCACAGCCACACCGGTCCTATGAAGCACCGCATCCTGCTGAGTGCACGGCGAGAATCATGATTGCAAGGCTTTTAGTTGAATTTTCGAGGCCTGCTTTGTTACATGCCACACGTAGTGGACCCGACATGCTGATATGTTTGCTGTAATCACCGTTTGCTACAGGCAGCAACGGCGAAGGTGCTTGATCTCTTGGAGGAACCAAGCGGTTGGGAGGAAGCGAGATCCCTTCTAAGGTCTCCGCCGCTGTCAAATCCGGACTTTGCCAAGATCTTGGATCGCTACAGCGATTCCAACTGGGAGAAACACATATTGGGGGACCTCTATCGAAATCAAGGCCTGGCGAGCATCAAGGTGAAGTCGGTTTGGCCAGTGCGAGCGAGCAATTCCTTTCGTGGCTGAATGTTGGGCGCAATCATTGTAGGAGTGAAATGGTATAGGCTCAGGGAATCACGTCCACGAAGCAACGTGTCCAGAGGAGATGAAGGCCAGGCGATTTGGCTTGTATGAGCAGTGAGCTGCTTGTGTTCGTTATTTCGCGGCTGAATGTTGGGGCGCATTGTGATAGCAACTCGACGAGTACCGTCACGTTGCCTGTCAAAAGCTTTCGAATTTTTCAGCGGGTAAGCAAGCTTGGGGTAACCAAGCATGGGGTAACAACCCAAGGTGTGTAGACATGAAGACGCCCGATCAGCTTACAGGAAGATTGTTACAGTCTCGTACGACATGGACACGTTCGATTGGCACACTACTACTAACTAAAGATTGACATAGCACACCTATCCTAGACAAGTTGCAGAAGAGCACTCACGCTGAAACGACTGAGCAGAAAAACGAAACAAAGCACCTAGAAAGTACAGGTAGTGGATATCATGCAGCTCTCCCCGACGGGCTGACAGGTGCAGAACTATGGTGGTCGCTTGGCATTGTCCGACCGGAAGGGCTTCCGGTAGCCATGTCACCCGGTGTAGCGTTGTTCGTACGAGTTGGTCGTCCTGATGGGCTTCATCATAGGCCGGCGGTGTAGCGATGCACATCGAAGTCCGCAGGTAGACCAGCATGTAGGGGTGTGACTCGTGCCAGGTAGGGTCGAAGTCGTCAGAAGAGGTTGTAAGGCCGCCTTGTAGGCAGTCGTATTTGTGCCACCGACCCCTCGAACGCATTTGAGTGGCGAAGTGGTTGCGGGAGCCGCCGCCAAGAGGAAGATGATAAGAAACTCCAACAAGGGAGAATTCCGCCCCAAAGTTACAGTCAATGAGGGCGACATGGCCAGGTCATCACGGCCCAGGAAGACTTGCGAACACCTGAAAAATAAACTGTCCGGTGCCGTATCTCCAGTCTAAGGAAGCAACGTCCACTTGCGTATGAAAGGCGATGGTCTCTGCGCAGTACGGGCACGGTGATTGTGCGGGGATCGCAAGATCAGAACCTTCTCCGGAGTTGAAGAATTCTGCAATCTTCTCTTGGAACGAGTCGGAGTGACCATTCGGCACCGTGATGACGGTGGCGTTCCTTAACCTAGCTGACTGGTCGGCCGTGATGTGCAGGTTGCTGTGGTTGGCAATAGTGCAATCGTTGGAGTATCTCCAGTCAAGCCCAAATACCCTAGGCGTGTGAAGTACGAGGTGGTGCTGGACGTTGGCGTTGGCAGGCCAGACTTCAGAGCAGCATTCTCTTAATGGCGCGCGCTGGCGTGGCCCCGCATTATTTTCTTTTAAACATGGAAACGCGCGCCCCGGGCCGCGGGCGCGGCATTCCGCGCCTCAAAAAATCCGTCGCGCTTTTTTTCGCCGCAGGCGAAAAATATTGGCGCGGCATTTTCTCGCCGCAGGCGCGAAAAATGTTTCTGCACCCTTTTTAGACCCATGTTTATGGTTGCCAAATCTTCGCGCGAAAATGTCGAAATTTTCAAAGGTTTGTGAATAAAGATTTTGTTTCACTTTTTATGGGAGAAAATCTTCGGCAAAATGTTCCCAAACATTTTCAAATGGGGCAAAAGTCGCTCGTTTGACAAAATGTTTGACAAACATTTTGAAATGGGGCAGGTCGCGAAAATCTTTTCCAAGAGCGGCGAGATTAGTAGCCGACCGCCCCTTCCGTCCTAAACACTAACCACTGCGCAGCGCACACTCAACGTAGCAAGCTCATAGAGGGATCCGGACAACCCTAGAGTCACCGTGTCAATGTTTTGCCGGCTGATACATGGCGGGAGCTCGTCAAGCGTGCACAAAAAACAGACGGGGGGGTTTGGAGGGCACGGAGAAAACGTGGTTTGTGTCTCCGAACGGCAAAAAGTCGGCTGCTTGAGAGGAGAGGTGAGTACAAAACTATCCAGCTCTCGTCCTCTAGACCATCGATTCATGTTTTGTCTTCTTGGGTGTCTTCTCCATCAATGGCTCTCATCCGGGTGTGCGTGGTTCAGCAGTGGACGTACTTAACAGGCAGGGAGGCGCGTCGCTGTGAACTCGACGTGTTGAAAAAGTCTTTTTTGGGACGGAGGAACAAGTCCTCTCTATTCAAGTGAAAAAAAAAAACGAAAAAAGCGTTGTGTCCACAACTTTGCACGCACAACGATGTGCCTCCCTGCCGACTGAGCACGGCCACTGCCAACCCACGCGCAACCGGGTGAGAGTCGTTGATGGAGAAGACACCCAAGAAGAAAAAACGTGAATCGATCGTCTAACGGGCGAGAGCTGGATAGGTTTGTACTCACGTATCCTCAAGCGGCCGACTTTTTGCCGTTGGGAAGCGCTGACGCACGTTTTGGTCTCTTTTTGACTCCGAGAACATTTTTTCTCGCACACCCGGAGCGCTATCGCCACATATTGGCGGGCACAGCATCAGCTCAGTGCATCAAGGGTTGTGGGGAAATCTTTGCGAGCTCGTTACATTCAGTTTCCATGACGCTTTTGTGGTTTGTCTGTATCAAATCGTTTGGTAGCAGTAGACCACGATTCCCGCCGCACTTCTGCTGCATTCCGAGAAAACCACACGATAAGATATTTTTGCGCATAAAAACGGTACTCAAATGTTCCTTTAGCAGATATTCGCGCGCAAATCTTTGACAACATTTGGAGATTTATTTCCAACATTTTGAAACCATAGACATGGGTCTTAAGGCGAGATTTTTTTTTTTTTTCTCCAGGTCTCTCTTTTTCACTGGGAAATGAGATATACTCTGTCGCAAAACGGGTGAAAAACACAAAAATTGACACTTTTATGCAGTTTTTGAACGATTTTTTGCAAGAAGTATGTCGAATTTCGTCCAAAAATTTGGCCCCTGCGCGGGGGGCGCCCTCCCGGGGGGCCCCTGCGGGGGGCTCAAGTGCCGCGAGCAACCACCAGTTGCCGCGCCTAGGGCCTGCGGCCCTAGCGAAAACGCTGCTTGAGGGCAACGTTTCGCGATGGCCTCGTACACGCTTGCCACCGCACCCGTTTCAGAACCAAGGCCAGGCACTCCCGAATTGGTGAAGATTGCGTGACGTGCTTGCTGTGCTACAACCTGGTGTGAAACGAAAAACGTGGGGGAAACATTGAGTTGCGGTCGACGTAAAGTTGAGGACACCCTACTATAAGTAGTCTAAACTACGATGGCGTACCAAGATATCTTGAGGCAATGCACAGCCGTTGAATATGGAGTCCCGAAGAAGTTGAACCGATGCGATGAACGCCGCGCCGGCTAGAGTTAACGCGGATGTGTCTGGCAGCTGTTGAGCATCCCATGCCGCAAGCGCCAAAGCAAGAGAAGAGTTGAGGAAGCAGTTGTTGTCGCTGTTCGGCAGCAAGTGTGCCGTCCTTCGAGTGGCACCATGCCCATGGCGGTTGGCGCCTTTCCTCCGTTGTTTCTTGGTCAGCGCCCGCGGCCCGACGTCGGCACGAGCAGCCAGTGAGGCTGAGACCGGCGCGAACCGTGTTGGATCTTGGAGGAACGCTGAAAGGGTAGCTTTGTCGAGGCGTTCCAGGTATTCGATGAGGGCCACGACGTCCTTGTTTCGTGGTTTGTTGAGGTCCTCCAAGGTTACCGGGAAAAGCAGATGTATGTCTTCAAGACACGTGGCGCGAGATAGAGCGACGTAAACGGCGGCGGGGTCCATCCTGTTTCTTGGCGGGTTCCTAATGTCGAGGATGATGGTGTGCATAATTTGTCCCTGGCTGCGATACACAGACGACAGATACCCGGCAGTTAGCGGCAGCTGCCGTCGGCGGATAGTAAACTTTCTCTTGCCGATGCCGACCACCGTGAACGGTTTCTCCACCGGGGCAAAGGCGACCACCCCGCGCGGCATCCCATCCAGCTGCAAACCAGCCTCATCCGCAGACTTGATGCAGACAAGAACTCTGACCGTGGGTATCGAAGGTTGACGACGCAGTAACCCGGGGTGCTATGGACGAGATAGTCTTCACGTTGGTCGAGCTTTATGCTGTGGATGACACCGTCAGAGTTGTTGCACACCCCCAGTAGGACGAACTGCGGACTCATGTGAACAACTACCGGCGCACCAACCGCAAGGCATGCCACTGTTGGCAGATCGTTGGCGGAGGCGTCGTCGGTGGAGTTGATTTCGTCCCGAAGCCCAGCCGGCGACGTCGTGCCGGGAGGGATTTTCTGTGGCGGAATATATATATTGGGGATGGCTTTTTAGTACAGTAGACGAGATGCCATTGGCTAGGTCCAAGTCTGTCAACGAAGATGCTCTTTACCTGTTTCGGAAAGCCGGGCCTGAGATGAGTGATGTAGACGTCGGACGCCGCTGCAAGGAAGAGCGGGTTTCCGTTCGCCTTGCACGAGGTGCGTCGTATCATTGGAACCGTCAGGATTGTGTTCAACTGAACAGGGTGGGGGTCGGAGTAAAAAGTAGGTTGAAATAGCGATTTAACTCTGTAAGTGCGCTGAAATGTTAATATTTTCCCGAAGAACACGTACCCTGGTCTCGGAAGGCGATGACAAGGCCGTGGAAGCAGCTGTCGGCGCGTAGGCCAGGAGACCCGGTTAGCAGTCGGCTATTTAGTAGCCCAACGTCGTCGGCGTCGTCTTCACCTAGAAGCTTCCGCTCCATGATCGGCGCGTAGGTGGGGCTGAAACGGTTGTTGTCTTCGTCCACAATAACGCTCGCGTTGGCACTGCGGAATAAGTCCGCGCCGAACCGCTCAGTCACGTTCATGTCCCTCCGGTTTGCCGCGTTATACCAGCTCCACAAGCCAAGGATTTGGCTTTGACAGGACTAGACATCAACGTACAGCCATGGCAAAAGAGGAGCGTGTAAAAGTTTAAGGGCGAATATACAGTTAGCGCCAGTATTAAGAAAAAGTATAACGTTTCAAGTATTGTTATGTGCCACACATATACATACCCCTCACCTCAGTTGGTTGAAGTCGCCGAGCATGACGACAACACGGTTGCCGAAAGGCTTCCCCTTGTGAAGTGGGAACATGGAGCATCCGGCCTCGTGAAGACTAACTAAACGTTTGCAGCCGATCATGCTGACCTCTTCGATAGCCAGGGTGGTGACGTTCTTTCACTCTAGTGCGTTGCTCTCGTTAAGCGAAGTTCGATCATCGTGGTCGCCCGATAAACTTCCGTCACTTGCTCCGTCGCTGGAGTAAGTGGAGTGTGCAGTTTGCCCTCCCACAGCCGAGGCCATTTCCCCTTGAAATGCAACGGTTTTTAGACGGCCTGGTGGGATTTGACCGGCAATAGCCGGACAGTGGATGAAAGTTTTCATGGCCTTGAGCACGTGCGACTTTCCTGTCCCGGCTCCGCCACCGATGTAAAGCCGAAGTGCTTCAGGACGGTCAGGGCTGTGCTGAGCCAGGAGATGTAAAACGCTAGCCGCTGCTTTCGGTTGAGGCCAAATTCCTGTGCGATGCTGAAGGCAACGGGATGTGGCGATGCTGCGCTGGCTCCGACGTCTGTCTTGGCGACGGCTTCGTTTGTGGCATCACGCTTGGCGGAGCGTTCAAGGCGGGCGCTGTCCGATAACCCGGCGAGCGCAGCATTTCTTATTTGCATGAGGTACGGCGCAAGAAGCGCAGCGTCGCGCGTCCGTGATTGTGTGGTTGACGATGCCGGAGGTTCGGCGTCAGCGTCCGCCAAAGATGACACGTGATTGCTAGTCATTTTGTCGAGAGCGTGGTTTTGTGGCTCGCGGCCTCGTCGCAGCCACAGGGTTTTCACGTCATGTTGGCTCTCGCTTGTCCCCAACCCTCGTCTTTTTCTGCGTGCCGCTTGATTGTCCGCAGCAGGCAATAAGTTCGCAGCGCTCTCCTCTTTTGCAGTTCAATCTTCTTTGTGGCTCACGATGCCAACATGAACCCTTCTTGCTTGTTGTGCGTCGACAGGTGCCTCGCGTGTGACGTGCACGTGTCCCTTAGCATGGAGGAGCCGGACGAGAGCAGGAAGGGTTCTTTCAATTGCTTCTTTTGCCGCATGACCATCGGGTACAGCGTCCAATACCACCGCATGATGGACCCTACTGGTAAGA